GTGTGTCCCATTCAGACATTACAAGCCAGAGCCCCCCCTTCGGTTCTCTTTTTGGGAGAGGGTCCGGGCCCTGTCCCCTTCCCCTTTTGCGGGGCTTTTAGCACGTCTGGTTTTGTACTACAATTCTCGGGGAGGTCTCGTGTGTCCAAACCCAAAAGAAAATGTTCCAACAAAGCCTCAGGGTTCAGCGCTGGGGGTTTATTTTGGATGGATTCTGTGGGGGCTTGTACAGGGTTGAGCCGCAGGGAGTGTTTTTGGGGGGTCTCACCCCATTAAACCACGTGGTCGGCGCTGGGGTGGAGGAGCCACCGGTCTTGGGGGTCCCCGTGTCCCGGGGGAGTCTCGGAGGGGCCGCCCCCCACTCCGGAGCTGCTCTTGGGGTGCAGCGGGGAGGGGTGGGGCGGGTGCGGGGTGGTCTAGGGGGTCCCCCAGCGGGTCCCCGATGTCCTCCAGGTGCTGGAACTGCATCTCCTCCTTGGCCAATCTGCGGTGGGGGAGGGGAGGGGGTCACCTCAAACTCCCTGAAACCCCCCTTGGGGTCACCCCAAAAATCCTCCGGGTTCACTCCAACCCCCAGCCCCGAAATCCCCTCCGGATCACTCAAAAATCCCCCAGACTCTTCCTCCCCCGCCGACACCTGGGTTTGCCCCAAAACCGCCCCCAAACCCTCTCCGGGTTCACCCCAAAACCTCGCCGGGGTTACCCGAACCCCCCACCTCGGCACTTGAGGTCACCCCAAAACCCCCCCAACCCGTCCCCGACTATCGGGAGTCACCCCAACCTTTCCCGCGGGCCCTATCCGGAGGAGGAAGTCCGGGGAGCGGGGTTGGGGGGGGAAGGAAGAGAAGGGGCAAAAGAAACGGTAAAGGACAAAAATAACGAAAAGGAGACGTGGGAGCCCGAGGCCCCCGCGCCGACCCCGGGGCGCTGCTGCCCCTCCGCGCACTGCCCCAGCGAACGGGGGCGGCTCCCGGGGCTCGAAGCCCCTCGGCCCCGCCCCGCTCACCTGTGCGGGCCCCGCCCCGGCCCCGCCGCTCAAACCCGGCCGGGCCGCGCCCGCCCCGCGGCTGCGGAGGACGCTCGTCCCGGGCCGCGGCGGGACTGACCGGCGCTCGGGGCCGGAGCCCCGGCCCAGGGGCTGCTCCCGGCGCTGCGCCGAGCCCGGGCCGCTGAGTGGGGACGGGACCGGTTCCTGCCGGGGAACGCTGCGGGTCCCGGGGCCGGAGCACCGAGGCGGGATCGGGGCTGACACCGGGACTGGGGCCGCTCCGGGGCGGGACTGCGCCGGGGCCCGGGCCCAGGAGAGCGGCGGCGCTTTCCTCGTGCGGACGCCGAGCCGGGGCTGGGATCGGCCGGGGCGCGGGGACCCTCCGGGCCGGCCCCGGGACCCCCGAGCCCGCCGGTCCCGCGGGGGCCCTCTGGCGGACACGGCGCGGCGGCGCCGATCACGGCGACCCCCGGTGGGCCGAGGGCGGAACTGCAGCCCCGTTCAGAGCCCCCCCCGGGAGAATATCGCCCGCCTCCCCCTTCCCCCTGGCACCCTGAGATGCTTCACCCCGGACAGGCACAGCTGGAACTGCAGAACCCATGGAAAGCTTTAAACAGGTGGGTCAGACCCGAGGTGCCCTGAAGGCAGGGATGTGCATCCCTTTCCTCAGGGAAAAGAACTTCCAGAGGCCACTCCTGAGGCTCTGAAGTGACAGCGGCTTCCTGCACGGAGAGACGTCCTCGCCTGTGCTCAGGTGCTGCCTCACCACGTGCCGGGAGCACGTCCCACCACCACCTTCTCCTGGGTGAACACATCCCCTGGAGCCCGACCCCAGGGGGTGAAAATCAGCTGAATTCCAGGGAGCTCGGTCAAGTCCCCCGCAGGGACATCAGCAGGGCTGGGGAAGTAGGGTTATAAACAGCAAATTCTATGGGATATCAACCTGTCCTGATCCCACTGAGCTTCCCTGGAACGTTGGCTGGTTCCTGACAAACCTGGCGTTAAAGCGGCAGCTCTGCAGGGGAATATCTGGGCTCCATAAGGCACTGTGAGGCTGTTCCAGCAGGAATTCACCATTGAAGAAGCCAAGAGCCAAAAGCAAATCCCAGGGTGGTGGCCAGGCTGGTGGGCAGCAGTTGGATCCGCTCTGGGGGAAAACACCCTGCGCCTGCCAGGAGCTCTGATTATGTTTTTCCTGCCAGCTCCTGATCAGTGTCAGGGCCACAGTGAGGGATTCAAAATCCAAATAAACCTCAAAACCTACAGCATGAGTAATCCAAAGGAAGAAACTCACTGTTGTCATAAGAAGCTTAAAAATCAGTTAAAAATTCTACGACAACAATACTGGGATTCCCTGGAACCTTATTAATGCTCTTGATTCCATTTTAATGTATTTTTAGTCCCTCAATTTGCAGCTTGTAGAACTTACCCCGGGATTTAGAGGTTGAGCAGGGTTTGGTTTGGATTAACTTTTACCTCTGGCCCCAATTTGTGCAAACACAACTAGGATCAATGTGGTTAAACACATTTTCCTACAAAAACAGTTGCTCTGCCCCCTCTAAATTACCCCAAGTTTTCAGCTAAAAATTTCACCCCTGTCTTCCCTAAGTCACCCCAGATGTTCCCATCTGGGAGCTACAAGGAAGCTGTAAATTCAAAGGCAGAAAAAGAAAATCTACCAGCAAAAGACAGAAAAAAGGGAAAAGTTTCAGAAAATATTTCTGCAATTTCCCAGTGAAAAGAACAAGACTGCGCAGCCATTAGGGCCTGACAGTCCCCTTCCACCAGAGCTCAGCACACATCCAGAGTGGCAATTCCATCATCTAAAAGAGAAAAAAGGTGATTTAGTTTGTTTTAAAGTTATTCTAATTTCTTAAAACCAAACCAACATTTGCTTTTGATTTTTATTGGGTGAATAATGAGAAGTGGGCACAGGGCATGTCATTAATGCTGACTGGAATGATGCTTCCTGGGGGAAGACCAACTGATTGCCCAAGTTCAATTCGTGCCCAAGGACTGATTTGCACAGGAGAAAACCTCTTGCATGAAGTGATTTTGTTCCATCTAATAATATCTGTGCTGCAGCTGCACAGAGCAGCTTTTCCCGTCACAGTAACAACTCTGGGCAGAAAAAGATTTATCAGTCAAGATGTGTTACCTGATCTTTCTACTTTAACTCATTTCTTCTCTTCCTCAAGTTTCAGGGACTTGCTGGTCCTGGAGCTTCATCAGAAGCTTTGGGTGGGTGGGATACCCAGACTGAGTTAGTCCTGGAAATGCACATCCACACCCAGGTCAGACAGTCAGGGTCCCAGGGATGTTTCCTGCACACCAAACACCACAGCCCCAAGCACCAGGAGCATGCAGATGCTCTGCATTGCAATCCACAGCCTCAGTCAGTCCTACAAGGGAAAGCAAAGTGGTTTTGTCTCCTCTGAGAGAGGAAAACGCACAACAGCAAGTGCTGGCCCAGCTGACCCAGCCCTCGTGGGCAGCTGTACCACTGAACAGGAGAATCCATCCTGGCTCACTGTTATGGTAAAACACTGCAAATCTGGGAGGTCTGGGGCTTAAAAGCTCAATTTAGGTCAGCAATAAGCTCTCTGATTGGGACAATTCACTGAATTCACTGGGAGGTCCTCAAATCTGTTTCCTAGGGCATAAAAAGTCCAAAGGAAAAGCTGCTGAGCACACAAGACTTCAAGGTGCTGCAATCAGAGGTTCCCTGAACTGCAGGGAAATGTCCTGAGTGTGGCTTTGGACTGCCCCTGCACACTGTGCTCTCCAGACCAGTCATCCTTCCTGGGAAGGCCAGGGAGAAGGGAAGGTGTGTTGGAGGCTCCCAGGGAACCCCCAGCCTCACTGCCAGTGCCTGCAGCCCTCACCCCAGTTCCTGTCCCTCAGGGGATGGCTCTTCATGTGGCCCTTGGGGACATGGGCTGGGGGTGGCCTTGGCAGTGCTGGGGCACCACTTGGACCCCATGGTCTCAAAGGGCTTTTCCAGCCTCAGGGATCCCCATGGGACACTTAGTGACTGACCCAGCTGCACAGATAGGCACGGAAGCTGTTACACACAGATCATATTCCATGAGCCAGAGCACTTCAGGGCATCACTGAGAGTGCAGAGAGCAGGAAAACCACACTTACACCACTTACCCTGCTCAGGGGTTTCCCAGAGGGCCATGAACAGCATTTCATTGTGATCTTGAGGGAAAACAACTCTTAAGATGGCCCTGAAGATGCCACTTTTCTGTCACTCTTGCCCCAGAACCACGGCCCAGCAGGTTTCTGTGGGAACCTGAATTATTTCTGTAGTTCAGAAGCTACACATCCCTAAAGCATTCCCTTGGGAACATGAAGCTTCCCATAGGCATTTTGTACTTCAGTTTGGACTTTGAGCACATTCAAAGACAGTTTACATCAGAATGAGGGGACTTGATGACAGCACAGCATTACAGCAGGGACATCAGGACACTCACCACACTGTGGACTCTCCATTCCCAGCACTCCTGTACCATCCTCAGTTCTCAGAGAGACTCAGTTCTATTTCCAGGACTACCATCAGGAAATGGATCTCTGTTCCCAGAAGCAAATCCCCAAGGCCATTTTTACTCCCTGCAAACACAAGAATGACCAGGGACAGCTGCTGGAAGAGGACAAAAAGAGGACTGTGATGATCAGACACTTTTAACTGGGAGAGCTCCAGTTCCTACCTGCCATCTCTAAGCAGCTCTGCCTTGGCACTGCCCCTCTGCTCTCAAATACCTCTGTGAGATTTTGGCCCCTAATTCACACAATCCCATGGTAATTTGCATAATAACTCAATAATAATCATTAATGGGTGCTCCAGGTGGGAGTCAGTGGGGTTCCTGTGCTCCAGCAGTGCCAGGAGATGTCTCATCCCTTCCCCAGGGTGCTGCTGCAGGGACATCCCCGCGGGAGGCTGCAGGACACGTCTGCACCAGGATGGGAACCTGGGCTCCCAAACCCATCCAACTGCTCCGGCCCTGGAGCTGCTGCTGCACCTCCCGTTTGGCCAGTGGGGCTGAGAGAGGGAAAACTTACAGAGGGAACTGAGAAAACAACCCCAAATCTCAGTAACTCACTTTGTAGTAAAAAGCTGTGCCTGTGTTTGCAGACATCCAGGAAAAACATTCCCATTGGAGGAGTCTTGGAATTATTTCCTCTGGCATTCCCTAGACTGGCACAGCTCAAACTGGTGCCATTCAATTCGCCATCTCCCAAATCCAGGTTCTCCTTTGCTGTGGGGTTTTTGCCTGTCCCACAGTCCCGAAGGACCTCTGGCAGCTGCACTGCCCAAGAGATGCAGTGGGACTGCTGGGAAACACCATCGGAAGGGAGGCAGAAATCAGCTAATTCAGGGCAGCACCTCAAAATATTGGGGGAAAATATGACAACATTCCATGGCCTCCCTTTGTAAATAAACACCAAACTGCATAAATAAAAACAATAAATGGTACACTACAACTATTTGGCACTTTTAGTTTAACCACTGCAAGTCAGTTAGTAAATTCCACAGTGTTAACTTTTTAAAAAAAAAAAAAATCACTTATGATAGGAAAATCAGGGAGATCAGAGATTTCCCCTACGGTTTTACTTTCACGGAAATAAAAAACAAACCCACCCCCACTGCTGCAATATCTCAGGCTCCCTAAAAGGCCCGGGGGATGTGCTGGTGCTTTCGGCTGCCCTGAAGCACAGGGAGGAACACGATGTCACCACCCCCACGGGCACAGCTGAGAACCGAAAGAGCAGCGACACCATCGCCTCCTGGAAGCCCTGCTGTGCTGGGGGCTTGGGGAGGAAGGGCACTGGCTTTTCTTCCTGCCTGAGAGCAAAAAGCCTCATTGCTGGTGACTTCTCCTGCCAAGTGCATCAGCTCTGAAGGGAAGCTCATAAAACGCAACTTCTTGCAACGAGAAAGTTTCCTGTTTTCTGGATAACTTTTCCAACTGAACTCAAAGTTCACACTAGAGGTGCAGGGGAAAGGACAAGACTGAAGCAATGACCCCCACGAGAAACACATCGGGACTCACTGGCACTACTTCCAAGGCTCCTTTGGCTTCATGGGAAAGCCGGGAAAGCGCTTGGAAGCGGTGCTGATTTATCCCGTTTTGTCCCAGCCTTTTCCTGGACCTCGACTGCTTTTAGCACAGATGCTGCTGTCTCAGTAAGGTTTTGGAGGATTACTGAAAGATATTTTAAGAGCTTACTGACTGAAAAAGCATAGAGCTTTTATCACGGATATCTGAACTCCCACAAACAACTTCTTTCCCCTTAAAGTACGAAGTTATTTTCACAGTATCATTTAGCAGGAAGCACCCGGAAACTCAAGACTGAGCCCTCTGGAACAGAAAATAAACAGAGAGGGAAGAAGCTTTGCACCGGTGTAACACAGTCCGGAACAGATCTGACTTGAGTTTTACTCTCTGTGTTGAGACATTTCACAGAGAAACTCCAGCAGGAGAGCTGGCACATTCCAAACGGTACCTCGAGAGTCCGCACCGCAAGCGGCGCAGGAAAGCCGCAGTCCCTGGGGATCCTTTTCCACCCGCCTCCCGCTCTCCAAACAGGACAAAGGGCGCCGCCATGTTGTGCTGCCCCCGTGCAAAGGCTGCTGGGAGTTGCAGTTCCCGCCCCGCCGCACAACATGGCGGCCGCGCTGCGCCGCTGGGTCCTTTGGCCCGCCCGCCCCCTCATCCCTGAGCACTCCGGTCCCTGCTGAAGGCAACGCTCCGAGCGCTCCGGGGGAGCAACACCTGTCCCCCCGCTGTCACAAATTTCCATTTCCCCACTGTCGCTGCCTCTTCCACGCTTTTATTGTCAGTGCGGGCGCAGTGATGGGGTTCTGTGCTCGGGGGAAGGGGGGAGGGGCGCGCTGAGGTGTAGACACCTCTGCCCCCCAAAGTGCAGGTGAGGTGGGGAAGGGGGCTTGTGGCCCTTCCCCACGGTGCCCTGGCAGCGGGGGCTCTGCCCCGTGGCCCCTAAAATTAGGGGGCGGGATCAGCGCTTGGGGTGGGGTCATCCGTGTGGTCGCAGAAGGGGCCGGAGCCGCCGTCCAGGCTGTGCTGCCGTACCACCCCGCGGGGGCGCGACGAGGGCCGCGACCCCCGGAAGGGACCCCCCGGTTGCTCCACGGCCTCGAACACCTGAGGGGGACAGGGAGGGGTCATCCCACGCCGCCCTGTGGCCGGACCCCCAGGCCCATCCCAGCCCTCCGCTCACCTCCCCAGCCAGGGGCTCCCCCGGCAGCTCAGGGGGCTCAGGGGTCTCCAGCAGGCTGATGCTCCGCATGACGGCGCAGAGGGAGATGCGGGGGCGCCGGGAGGCCCCCAGCACCGCCCTCCCGGCCGCCTCCTCCTCGGGGGGCTGCGGGGAGGGCAGCGGGGACGGCAGCGGGGACAGCGGGGACGGGACACCCGTGTCCCTCGGGGACTCTTCCTCGGGGTGTGGCGCCCGCTCGGCCGCTCGGGGCTCCCACAGGCTGCTGTGCCGGCTGCCACACACATGTCGGTCAGCGCCTGGACACGGCCCCAAGGGGAGCCACACCTGTCCCCTCTTACCTGTCCCCTTCCACTGTCCCTGCTCACCTGTCCCCTCCCACCCGTCCTCACCCTGTCCCTGCCCCATCCCTGCTCACCTGGCGCTCAGGATGCCCTGGTAGAAGTCGAGCTGCCGCATGAAGCCCGGGTTGGGCAGGACGCTGGGCCGGCAGTGCCGGACATGCCGCAGCGCCCGCTCCAGGGGCCACCCGAACTCCTTCATGGCGTAGGCCAGCACCGTGGCGGCCGAGCGGCTCAGCCCCATGCGGCAGTGCACCAGTGCCCGACCCCCTGACGCCCTGCACGGGGGGCACCGGGGACACCGTGTCCACAGGGCTCCCAGGGTCTCCCAGACACCCCGGGGTCACCAGGGACACCGTGTCCACATGGCTCCCCAAATGCCCCAGCAACCCCAGAGATAACAGAGACACCATGTTTCCCAGGATCTCAGTGTCCTCATGTCCCAGAGCTCCCCAGCTCCCAGTGTCCTCAGCCATCCTGGTGCCCCCAGGGTTCCCCATGTCCCCTGTGTCCCCACCCCACCCCGGTGTTCCTGGGGATCCCATGCCACAGGGCTTCCCAGTGTTCCCCAGCCACCCCGGGGGTCCCAGTGGTATCATGTTCACAGGGCTCCCAGTGTCCCCAGCCCCCTCAGGATCACCAGCAACACTGAGTCCCCAGACAACCCAGTGTCCCTGGGGACCCCATGCCCCAGGGCTCTCTCTGTCCCCAAGCCTCCCCATGTCCCCAACCACCCTGGCATTCCGAGCCACCCCAGTGTCCCCATGCCCCTGGGGATCCCACATCCCAGTTCTCCACATGTCCCCAGCCATCCCAGCGTCCCCAGGAACCCCATGCACCAGGGCTCCCCTTGACCCCAGGGACCCCATTTCCCCAGGGCTCCCCTTGTCCTGCAGAGCTCACTATATCCCCAAGAACCCCACGCTCCAGATCTCCCTGGTCGCCCCAGTATCTGCAGAGACCCAAGTCCCCAGAGCTCCCCAGTCCTCCCAGTGTCCCCAGTGCACCCCAGCACCTCATTCATCAAGACTTCTCCCCTGAGGGCAGGGGACTCTTCCCTCTGCCCCCAGCTCCAGCCCCTGCCCTCCGTGCCCCCGATGTCCCCCCGGGGTCCCCCCCATACCCCAGGGCTGCCCTGGCCCCACTGACCGGACGCGGGAGAGGAAGAGAAAGGTGTCATTCCAGTGGGGCAGGAGCTGGGCCACTTCCTCATCATACACCCGCACATTCATGTACGTGAACAGCGCCGGGAAGAAGTTGTCAATCTCCCGTGCCACGTTCAGGATGTGAGTGACCCTGTGGGGACAAGGGTGACACCCCAACGGGTGTCCCATGATGACCTCATACCTGCCCCACCATGATCCCATGCCAGATGATCCCATGCCACACCACCATGTCACTCCAGATGACCCTGTACCCTCTGTGCCACCCCAGATAACCCCATACCCACCCCACCATGACACCATGA